GTAAAGTGAAAAATGGGAACATATATGCTCAACAACACCACTGATTAAGAGCCAACATAATCTAGAGCTGAGAGAAGGAAAAGAGGACATCTCTGTGATTTAAGCTCATATCTCTCAGAATTTAACAGTGAGGAAGGGGGAGAGAGAAAGAGAGAAAGAGGGAGAGAGAGAGAGAGAGAGAGGTGATCTATTGTTTCACCTATTTATGCATTCATTGGTTGATTCTTGTATGTACCCTGATCAGGGATTGAACCTGCAACCTTAGTGTGTGGGACAAGGCCCTTACCAACTGAGCTACCCAGCCAGGTGATAATCCATGTTTCTATCTGGCTTACATTTGACATTTTTGAAACGTGACATTGTAAACCAAGTTATAAAGTAAATGAAAAACGTGGAAACTAATTTTCTACTAGAATGAGCAAGAATGTTTAAAAGTAACCTTTAATATGTGAGTTGGTGGCTATGTGGCTTAGTTTTCTGGTAAGTTGTGTTTATAGAATCTGAACACACAGATCAGGAAAAGTTATACTATTTCACAGGGCAAATCAAGGCTGGGAATGATTTGTTCAAGAGCACAGACTCTGCTATTCTGTTCAATACAGAAGCCACTAACCACAGAACTTGAAATGTGGCTAGTCCAAATTAAGGTGCGTATGTATAAAATATACACTGGATTTAAAATATCTGATTATAATTTTATGGAAATTACATATTTAAATGGTATGGACATAATGAGTTAAATAAAACATATTTCAAAAATGATTTTCACCTATTTCTGTTTTACTTTTCAAAAATGGCTACTAGAAAATTTTAAAGTCCATATGTGGTTGGTATTAACTATCTTCTTTTCTAATCTGAATCATTTTTATTTCATTTTCTTGTCTAATTGCCCTGGCTAGAACCTCCAGTGTGATGGTGAAGAGAAGTGGCAAGAGGTGACATCTTTGTTTTGTTTCTAATCTGAGGGGGAAAGAAACCAGTCTTTTACCAATAAGTATATTATCTTTGGTTTTTCATAGATGCCCTTTATCAGGCTGAGGCAGTTCCTTTCTATTCCAAGTATTGTGAGTGTTTTGATAAGGGGTGTCAAATTTTGTAAAATACTTTTTTTAGTCTATAAGACGATCATGTGTATTTTGTCTTTTCTTATTGATATATTACATTAATTTTCGTATGTGAAATCAACCCTCCAATCCTGAGATAAATCCCACTTGCACCTAGTATGGTCCTTTTTATATGTTGCTGGATTCTGTTTGCTAATGTTGTTGAGAATGTCTGTCTCTGTTCCTAAGAGCAACTGGTCTGGAGTTGTTTTCTTTTGTTATGATATCTTTGTCTGGTTATGGTACCTTACATTAGATTTCTATTGGCTAGTGCTGTTCTAATTTCTAGTGTGGTGGCTTTGCTACTGTCTTTTACTAACTCAAACATCAACACCAGAATGGGATTACCTTAGCCAGGTCAAGCTGACGAACTTTGCTGGACACATTCTCAGCTAGGCTGCAGGTAAAGGTGATCATTCCAGCTAGCTGCTTTGCATCACCTTCAATCAACTGCAGGTTGGGACTGGAGATCCACATTGTCAGCACACGTGCATGCACAGGGGCAGAAGGTAGTAGTAAGAGATGGGAAAAACCTTTTTGCAGATGGAGACTAGGTCTTTCTACTTCTTTTGTGCCTCCCCATAATTCTTAGCTTAAATCACTCTACTAACAGTTTTTCCCCCAAGCGTGTTTTACTGTAAATTCAGGCGTATACTTTAAAGACACCCTTAAATAGACAAAGAATGAGAGAACAGATCCTCCCAACTGTTTTTCTCTCTCTTTATTTTCCCATCACAATTTATCTCCCCTATACCCTCTTCAAGTGAGCATAAAATGTGTTAACCAACAATCTGAGAGGAGGTTATCAAAGAGCAGTTTTTATGACTACACAATGTTTGTAACAACAGCAGATGCCAAACTTGAGCCACACACCAAAGCCTCTTGGTATGCTTACTGAAAAACAGATTCCTGAACCCCCACCCAAGTTGCTGATTCAGTAGGCTTGGGGTGGGGGCCCTAGAATTTGTATTTCCAGCAAGTTTCCAAGTGATGTTGGTAATGTTGGTACTGCTGGTCAAGGGCACTTTGGAAACCCTTGAGTGTCCACTTTTCCTTGCAGTAATGCTCCCGTTTCACACTCAGCTGGCATTTTGTGACAGAGAGGAAACCTAACGTATCCAGTGGACCCTGCTGTAGAATAACTCCTGGGAGATGGAGACTTACCCCATCCGATGGAGAGCGACCATTTTACTTTCAATGCTGTTTTGCTGTTCCAGAAGAGCATCCAGCTCTCTTTCCACCACTTTCTGAAACACAAGAAGCATCCTTTCATTGGGATGCTCAGAAGGAACCCGAAGTTACCTAACCCAACCCCTTCGCGAAAGGATGAAAGCCACTGCAAATGTCTTCTTTCCTCCCACTCGACTCTCCCAGGATATTAACAAACAAAACTTAATTTCTGCAATTAACCACACTGCATAGTGATTATTATGTATATCTTACGTTATCTAACAGATGAACAACACAAAGGCGAAAACAAACCTTCCCTCAATGTCGGTAGCATAGTGCCTAACACAGGAAAGCCTTAAAATATAATGGCTACACCAACGCAACTTCCCAAGGGGCAGTCACAAAAAGCCTCTTTCTAGCGTGTAATTCTCCCTCAGCCACGCCACTTCCTGCATTGCCTCAATTAGGGTAACCTTTTTTTAAAAAAAAAAAAAATTTTTTTAATCGATTTTTTATAGAGAGGAAGGGAGAGGGATAGAGAGTTAGAAACATCGATCAGCTGCCTCCTGCACGCCCCCCACTGGGGATGTGCCCGCAACCAAGGTACATGCCCCTGACCGGAATCGAACCTGGGACCCTTGAGCCCGCAGGCCGATGCTCTAACCACTGAACCAAACCGGTTAGGGCCAGCTTAACCTTATGCTTGAGTCTCCTCACCCGGAAAATAGGAATAGGAATGCATAACTCATGGGACTGTTGTGGGAGCCAAACGAGGTATCAAACATAAACTATGCGGCTTATGGACCGATAACAGCTATTCCTAGCAGCCATGCGTGTCTGTGAGAACAGTCCAGCAGGACTGAGACGGAAATTCCACCTTGACAGTGACCACATACAGTGACCACAGCACTGTCCCGCCTGCAAGACTGACTTTAATTTTCTCCCAAAGAATCGACTGACCCGAGGAATGCAAGCTTAGGAACGTGAAGTCAGGAGCGCTGACGTTTCCTACAGCGCGCCTTGCTGAAAAACCTACCCGAAACTGCTGGAGCTGGTGCACGCTAGTGCTCGAACACACTGAGATGTCAATGACCGCTCCCTCCACTACCCGCCGGGGCTGGACCCGCCTTCTGTGCGCAGCCTCATTTAAAACGCGTTTGGTTTTAGGGAACAGCTACTCAATTGTTAGATCAGGGCTTTAAATCTTTTTCCTTTTGACTGGCCAGGCACCCGGCTGACATTCAGAAATGCACCGGCAGCATCAGGTGGCCACGGGAAAGGGAGAGCCCGAAAGGAGGTGAAAGGAACTGGAAGGGATCCGGGCGGGATCGAGGCCACGCCCCTCACCTGAGAGGAAGCGGCTTGTCCAAAACCTCAAGCTTCTACCAAGCTCTGCATGAAACGCTAAAATTACATGCCCCTCCGCCCCCAAATCATTTTCTGCAAGAGAAAGTTTTAAAACGCTTCCTCTTTATTTGCAAATGACTGCAGGCTTCAATGCGATAACAGGGTGAAAGCACGTCATGGTTAAGCGAATGCAAGAAAACCTTGATTCTTATTTTGAGAACCAGGCGGATTGGCACAGACTCTCAATCTAACTTGCATCCCGCGGAGAGCAGGAGGCACCTCGTCTTAAA